TTTCTTTTTTGTCCTCCTTGCCAGAAGATGCATGTGTTGGTCCAGCAGACATCGCTGGACTCCCTTGAACTCGCTCGGTCGCGGTTCAAGCCCCAGTCCTGGTGGCTTAAAACTCACACTGGGCACGTGTGTGTGCGTGCCCAAGATCCTGAGAGGAGAGTGGATGAAAAGGGATTGCGGTGTGGCCACCCTCCCGACTTCTTGCTTTCTGTCTCTGTCTCTCCAGTGAGCACATGTGCCCTATACCAAAAATCCCTCTTTCTCTCATAAAAGGGGGGGAGCAGTAGTTAAGGGGCTGGACTCCCACATGGCTGACTGTAGATCGAGTCCTGGACCTGGCCGCTTACTTTCTCAGTCTCTCTCTTTCTCTCTCAGTCCCTCTCTGGTCAAATTAAACAAATAATAAATAAGTAATGTTAAATAAAATAATTCTTTAGAAAAAGAAAGAAGAAAATGCACGTGCTCACCAGAGAGGCAGACAGAGATGGGGGAGGGAGAAAGCACCCCCACTGAGGCATGGCCATGTTTTAACCGCTCTCCTCCACTCCTCCATCTGCTGGGATCTTGGGCACACGGACATGTGCCTGGTATGTTCCTCCAGCCTCCAGGGCTAGGATTTGAACTGTGTGGTCGGCCACGTGAGATCAGGCTCCCTTAACCACTACGCTACCAGTACGCTGGGGGCCCTTTACTGATTCTTACACCCCAACAGATGTGACTATTATGCTGACTTGCATTTCTGGGTTTTTTTTTTTTGGAGAGGTTTATTGCTATAGGGGGCGTGCACTCGCCAGAAAGACAGAGAGAGACAGAGACAGACAGAAAGCGAGAAATCACCCCCCCAGGGGGGATGACTACACCACAATCCCTTCTCCTCCATTCTCCTCTCGGGATCCTGGGCACGCGTACACGTGTGCCCAGGGTGAGTTAAGGCCACTGGGTCTGGGACTACGAACCACGGTCAACTACATGGGAGTTCAGTGACACAGCCATTATGCTAACTGCTGGTCCCTCTGCCGACTTGCATTTTTAAGAGAATGTAGTGAGTTTCAGCTGTACCACAGCATCCACAGAGTACTGCCAGGTTTTCTGAATTTGCCAATCTTTAGGTGAGAGGCTGGGTCTCTCTGCTGTCTGATTTTGACCTCTCACAAGGGAGAGAAAAGCCTAACAGTCCCCATGTTTGCTGACTTGAGCTTTCTCTTCTGTTCACATTCCCAACTTTCTAATGTTTTCTTCTTACTGAGCTGGAGAAATTCTGTTTCTAAGTTTTCTGGAGGCATGTGTACTCATCAGAGAGAAAGCGACAGATACAGAGAGGGAGAGGGAAGACGCACTCCCCATGGGGCATGGTCATTCCGAAGTCCCTTCTCCTCCACTTTCCCTCCTTCAGGGATTCTGGGCAGGCATGCAAACATGCCCAGCAAGTTTTTAAGCATTCACTACTGTACTACCTCATAATTTTTTTCTTTCCTTTTATTTATTTATTATTTTTTAAAGTTTATTTCTTTTTTCTGAGAGAGAGAAGACAGAGAGAGAGCAAGGCCGACACTTCCAGCCTCAGCACGACCCACCTAGCCTGTGCTGGGGGGTCCTGGGCATAAGCACACACACCAGCAGGTGCAGGGAGGCCCTAGGACATGAACCCGAGACCTTCCAGTGTGTGGGCCATTGCATTGCCATGGCATGACGAGACCAACCCTGGAATATAATTGCAGTGGAGTAAGTCCTTGCTCAGAACCTTCCTAGCCAGGACGGTGTGTTCAGGGACAAGATGGTGCAGACTGTCAGAGGTCGCCCCGTTCTCTCTCACTCCCTTGGGACATGCATGATCACCTGCTGGTCTTGGTGATCGGTTGTCAGCGTACGGGTGAAGAGTGGGCACTGCTGGAGACCTGAGCTGCAGCATCGCTGCCTCGCAGGCTTTCACGGTTTGGCTCCCCGCAGGGCAGCAAGTCTAACTCCAAGGTAACTCAGTGCTCGGTATTGCGTTCTGCGTGTGCAGCCTCTTCTAGAGCCTGACAGACATGGACAACTGGCGAAACCACAGCTACATTTGAAAAAAGCATGTCAGACTGGAGATGAGCTTATCGACAGCAGAAATTGAAACAAAATGGGGTCATCACTAATGACACTCATTCCAGACACAAAAAGAAACAAAGCGAAGGAGACAGAGCCCCAGTCTCAGGTCTGCTTATAACTCACTCAGGCAACACACTCAAGCCAAGAGACCTACGTGTAGGAAGTTAGGACCCAGCTTCCGAAAACCACCTCAGCCCTCCTAAAATAAGAACATGACGATAATTTCACAGGGGAAACCCCAAAGTCTGAGGAAAACATGATACCTGTGGAAACGTTTCCAAATGTGAAAATGCTCAAGTTGTTTGGAGGTTAGAGGGAAGCCCCCGGGGTACATTTTCTTGAAACTTTAGGAAAATTGCTGTTTAATTTGCTTTAGCACAACAAAAATGAATCACATAAAATATTCAGAGGTAACAGCTCAGGATGGAAGCCAGGGCTCACCTCTGAATCGAGACACGGTGTGGCTGAGCTCCGTGTCAGAGGGACAGAGAGCAGCCGCCCCAGTCAGGCTGGTTCCACTGATTGGGAAGGACTGAGTGAGTGGGGATCTGGACAGACTCCTTTTCTGTAGGAATAGTACTCTTAAGACTGTTTTATGAAACGCATGCAAGCAGGTCTTCCCCAACCTTCAGGGCTGGTCCAGGGATGGGTACGACTAATCGAAGCCAGTGGGCTGGAGGGGACTCTGCAGGGATCCCCCAGCTTGTGCAGGAGCCCTTCGAAAGGACCCACTCTTCCCTGCAGCACACAGAAAAGCACCAGGCAGTAAACGAGACAGAATTGCCGCCCTTGTGGAGCATAGATTCTAGGGCAGTGACAAGAGATATTAGTTGATGCTCGGAACAAGGAGAAAACAGGATAGAAGGAGAACAGGTATTTATTTCTAGCTATTTGAAGTAGGGGAGGCCTCACTGACTTGTGCTCACTGACCTAAAGGAATGAGGAATGTCTGGGGAAAGCATCCCAGGCAGGGGAGCAGTGGACAGCATGCCTGGAAAGTGAGGGAACACTCAGGGCCCACGCCGCCAGAGATCCAGCAACCCTGCGACCCAGCGACCTAGCAGGTCCCTGGAGTCAGGGAAAGGCCCAGCAGGGCTTTGCAGACCACTGGACTGTAGCTAATATTCTGAATGAGGAGTGATGTGACATGGCTTTGAACCTGCTGACTGATGTGTGTGGGGTTAAGTCTGTGCATCGGTCTGACTGGTTGAGGGATGCCCAGATAGCTGCTAGGTTACTAGTCCCGGGTATTTCCGGAAGTGGCATTTGAATTAGTAGACGTGATAAGGAAGATCTGCTCTGGCCCATGAGGGTAGCTTGACACCGAGGGCCTGAATGGAGTGAAGAGGCCGAGGAGGGGCGACCTCTCTCTTTGGTGCCAGGACAGCCTCTTCTGCCCTTGGACTGCAGAGTTCCTTGTTTTGGGGCCTTCAGACTCAAGACTGAATCACACCTCTGGCTTTCCTGATTCTTTGCTTGCAGATGGCATGTTAAGGGACTTCTCAGCCTCCACAATTGCACACGCGACTCCTGTGCTGAACCCCCTTAAGTGTCTCTGGAGAGCACCCCCACCAAGTAGAGGCAGGACTTAGTTTACTGAAGTTCTGAGTCCCACCCTTTGCTCCTCTTGATAGAGGAGAGTGGAGGCACATTTGGGGACAAGTCAGGTGTAGCTCTTGGCACATGGAGTTGGCTATAGTCAAATACACAGAAAACTCGTAAAGGCTTTCTTCCTGCCTAGCCTCCTAGTCAGGTGGGCCAGGGACTACGAGGGACAACGAGGCACTAGGGATAAAAGTGCTTTGCAGGAAGAGCACACTGGAACCTCAGTCAAGGACTGGCTCTCCCAGGAAGTGTCTGCCCTGTGGCACCAGGACCCGGCTCCCCAGGCTTTCACTCAGCTCTGGGGAACAAGGGTGAGTGTGGGACGGGAGAGGGGACTGCAGAACCACCACAGGGCAGGAGTCGGAGCCAGCAGGGTCCACTCACTTGTGAGCACACCCCTGCGCCCCCCTCCCCCCGCCCCATGGCAGAGACAAGAGCACTCAGTCCCCGCTGAGACCCACTGTCCCTCCTCGTTGGGAAGGGCCTGCACGCTCTGCTCCAAGACAAGGACCCTGATTCTTGGACAGGGTGAAGAGGCCTCAACATGGAGACTGAAATTTTCTAAAATAAGGCCCTGGGGATTGAATGGTTCAAGAAAAAATAAACAGGCTGCCAAGTCTGTGGAACAGGTATTATGTTTGAGGGACTTGGGAGGCTTTAGCTGGAGGGTAAGAATGACGTGATGGTAGCTTGCATCTTCTCAGGTGCAACGTGTCAGTCCCCTTCTGTGTGGTTTTGTAAAGACCACCAGAAACTGGAAGCAGCCTGGGTGTGACCGTAGGTCGTGCACAGTGCCCGGGGAGTGTGCAGTGAGCGCTGGGTGCACGTGTGACAAAGGCAGGCCAGCATGAGCTTCCTGGAGGCAGGATTTGACTGAACCAACCTTTTTCTTCTTCTTTTAGTTTGTTAATGGGGTGTGTGCATTCATTGAAGAGAGACAGAGACAGAGAAAGCACACCTGCAGGGTGAGTAGCCACGCCGCAATCCCTTCTCCATTTTCCTCTCAGGATTTTGGCACGCACACACACATGCCAAGTGTGTAAGCCATACCGCTGGGTCTGGGACCCAGACTGAGAAACTGGCCACCAGCTGGCCCTGAACCCATGTTTCTAACAGCTAAAAAATTAACAGACCACCCTTAAGAGGCAGTGGGATTCTTTCCCGTAGGAGCGGAACGTGCACAAAGACAGACATGCTCTCCCTCAGGGAACAGGAGGTCGGGACCTCGGAGGTCTCTGCACCCTGTAGCTCTAACCTAGGGCTCTCTGGGACAAGCATGACATGGCTTGTGATCTCAGAGCAATGAGCAAGTGGCCTGTCTCAATGGCACGTTTATTAAACAGATGCTCACGACCGATTTTCACAACATCGAATCTCCCTTACTAAGGAAAAAATGGCCACCACAACAAGGTTGATGGGTCTAGATGATCCCCTCCACTGTCTGGAGGCCAAAGCCAGGGCCATCACTGGTCTTCCTCACCCTGGGGCTGATCTGATTTCATCTTCTTCACCTCCTCTCTGGCCAAGTGTCCCCGGAAGGCTGCTTGGATTTTGAGAGCAGCATACTCCTCCTTCTCCTTCTCTTCATCAGGAGACTCCTTCATTGAAAAGAGAAACCAAGAGACTGCTTAAACACCCATATTCTTGTGGATTCTAGGCTTCAGCTGTCTGACCTGCTGCTTCCCGAGGGAGTTTTACACGTGGCTATACTGTGCTCATACTGGCTGGGGGGGCTTTTGCTTGGTCACTCTTTACTACGTCTCAGCCGTAAAAGGTCATTGCCAACTTTTTAATTCCCCAAATAGCTCCTATTTAACTGTTTCCCGAGCAGTAACATGTTTTGGGGGAAACAAGTAAGGATCTAGAGGCATGGTAAAAGTGTTAAAAAGAATAGTAAAATGTGCTCTTTTAAATAATTATGATGGCATAAATGGGATTAAAATGTTAGCTTCTTTTTTTTTTTTTGGAGAGGATTTTGCTATAGGGTGCGTGTGCCTGCCAGAAAGATAAGAGAGAGACAGAGAGACAGAAAGGAAGAAATCATCCCCCAGGGGGATGGCCACGCCGCAATCCCTGCTCCTCCATTCTCCTCTCAGGATCTTGGGCACGCACGCACACGCGCTCGGAGTGAGTTTAAGCCACCGAGTCTGGGACTCGAACTGCAGTCGAATGTTAACTTCTTAACCTCTAAACAATTAGGCAGACATACGTGTGGAGTGCCAACCAGAAACCCGTGTGGCTCAGGGCTGTTAGCCCCACATGCCTCGCTGACCCTCGGCACACAGCATTGGTTTAAATTTAGTGTTATTTATTTACAGAGGATGAAATGCACATGTCTTACGTACACAAATGAATAGATGCATAGCTTTTAATACATATTTCAAAACTATGAAATGATATGTACATTTGGAAAGCTCGAGGCTCACTGGAAGGGCTCTCCCTCTTTCCAGATTGTGCTCCTGAGAGGTAGTGCTGTCAGGGTTGCCCGTACCCTGCCGAGGGAAAGAAATCCTCTATGTACACAGGGACCCAGAGCCTAGACATGCCTTTTTATACTGGAAGTGAGATCGAGCTAATCACAATGTCCTGCAACTCTTTCTTCCATGTGACAGGAAGTCTTAGTTCACTTCTGCCATTATTACTCAGTGGCAGCTCTGCCTGTCCTTTCTGTCCACTCACTTGTGAGCACCCCCCTGCGCCCCCCCCCCCCCGCCCCATGGCAGAGACAAGAGCACTCAGTCCCCGCTGAGACCCACTGTCCCTCCTCGTTGGGAAGGGCCTGCACGCTCTGCTCCAAGACAAGGACCCTGATTCTTGGACAGGGTGAAGAGGCCTCAACATGGAGACTGAAATTTTCTAAAATAAGGCCCTGGGGATTGAATGGTTCAAGAAAAAATAAACAGGCTGCCAAGTCTGTGGAACAGGTATTATGTTTGAGGGACTTGGGAGGCTTTAGCTGGAGGGTAAGAATGACGTGATGGTAGCTTGCATCTTCTCAGGTGCAACGTGTCAGTCCCCTTCTGTGTGGTTTTGTAAAGACCACCAGAAACTGGAAGCAGCCTGGGTGTGACCGTAGGTCGTGCACAGTGCCCGGGGAGTGTGCAGTGAGCGCTGGGTGCACGTGTGACAAAGGCAGGCCAGCATGAGCTTCCTGGAGGCAGGATTTGACTGAACCAACCTTTTTCTTCTTCTTTTAGTTTGTTAATGGGGTGTGTGCATTCATTGAAGAGAGACAGAGACAGAGAAAGCACACCTGCAGGGTGAGTAGCCACGCCGCAATCCCTTCTCCATTTTCCTCTCAGGATTTTGGCACGCACACACACATGCCAAGTGTGTAAGCCATACCGCTGGGTCTGGGACCCAGACTGAGAAACTGGCCACCAGCTGGCCCTGAACCCATGTTTCTAACAGCTAAAAAATTAACAGACCACCCTTAAGAGGCAGTGGGATTCTTTCCCGTAGGAGCGGAACGTGCACAAAGACAGACATGCTCTCCCTCAGGGAACAGGAGGTCGGGACCTCGGAGGTCTCTGCACCCTGTAGCTCTAACCTAGGGCTCTCTGGGACAAGCATGACATGGCTTGTGATCTCAGAGCAATGAGCAAGTGGCCTGTCTCAATGGCACGTTTATTAAACAGATGCTCACGACCGATTTTCACAACATCGAATCTCCCTTACTAAGGAAAAAATGGCCACCACAACAAGGTTGATGGGTCTAGATGATCCCCTCCACTGTCTGGAGGCCAAAGCCAGGGCCATCACTGGTCTTCCTCACCCTGGGGCTGATCTGATTTCATCTTCTTCACCTCCTCTCTGGCCAAGTGTCCCCGGAAGGCTGCTTGGATTTTGAGAGCAGCATACTCCTCCTTCTCCTTCTCTTCATCAGGAGACTCCTTCATTGAAAAGAGAAACCAAGAGACTGCTTAAACACCCATATTCTTGTGGATTCTAGGCTTCAGCTGTCTGACCTGCTGCTTCCCGAGGGAGTTTTACACGTGGCTATACTGTGCTCATACTGGCTGGGGGGGCTTTTGCTTGGTCACTCTTTACTACGTCTCAGCCGTAAAAGGTCATTGCCAACTTTTTAATTCCCCAAATAGCTCCTATTTAACTGTTTCCCGAGCAGTAACATGTTTTGGGGGAAACAAGTAAGGATCTAGAGGCATGGTAAAAGTGTTAAAAAGAATAGTAAAATGTGCTCTTTTAAATAATTATGATGGCATAAATGGGATTAAAATGTTAGCTTCTTTTTTTTTTTTTGGAGAGGATTTTGCTATAGGGTGCGTGTGCCTGCCAGAAAGATAAGAGAGAGACAGAGAGACAGAAAGGAAGAAATCATCCCCCAGGGGGATGGCCACGCCGCAATCCCTGCTCCTCCATTCTCCTCTCAGGATCTTGGGCACGCACGCACACGCGCTCGGAGTGAGTTTAAGCCACCGAGTCTGGGACTCGAACTGCAGTCGAATGTTAACTTCTTAACCTCTAAACAATTAGGCAGACATACGTGTGGAGTGCCAACCAGAAACCCGTGTGGCTCAGGGCTGTTAGCCCCACATGCCTCGCTGACCCTCGGCACACAGCATTGGTTTAAATTTAGTGTTATTTATTTACAGAGGATGAAATGCACATGTCTTACGTACACAAATGAATAGATGCATAGCTTTTAATACATATTTCAAAACTATGAAATGATATGTACATTTGGAAAGCTCGAGGCTCACTGGAAGGGCTCTCCCTCTTTCCAGATTGTGCTCCTGAGAGGTAGTGCTGTCAGGGTTGCCCGTACCCTGCCGAGGGAAAGAAATCCTCTATGTACACAGGGACCCAGAGCCTAGACATGCCTTTTTATACTGGAAGTGAGATCGAGCTAATCACAATGTCCTGCAACTCTTTCTTCCATGTGACAGGAAGTCTTAGTTCACTTCTGCCATTATTACTCAGTGGCAGCTCTGCCTGTCCTTTCTCTCAGTGACACCGGGTGCCCGGTCGCCGTGTACCCAGCGTCCTGTGGAGCATGGTCTTTCCACTGATGCACTTTATTACTCAGGCTCCCACCCCGGACCTGCGGGTCATCCGGACCCCCACATCACAAGCCAAAAGGCACATCTAACTCTTCAACTTTTACATGCAAACAAAATTGGACAAAGTCCTCTGAGGTGGTGCCTTAGTATGAGCAAACAAATTGCACTCAAGTCGGAAACCAGTGAGATCCCAATTCCAGCCCAAGAGAACCTGCATGGGGCACGGGTGAGACACAGGGAAGGAACCCCCGCTTCCTCCTCCCTCGCCCTCCCATCACATCTTAGCCGAAGGACCGGCTTCCTGGGTTTTACTGGCACAATCTGGATCACTTGGGAATGCTCACGGAGCCACGCCTTGCTGGGCAGGAAGAGAGGTGTTCCCTGAGGAGGACAGCCATTCCATTATGGGCTAACTGGGAGGTGAAGGCAGGAAAAGGAACTCAGAAATTGGGCCTTTGCCATCGTAGAGCGAGTCCTCTTCTCACTGGCCTGGTCCTCGTGAGTCTAGCTCCTGGTACAGACGGCGACCTGCTGCTCAACGCTTACTACTCCCGGCCTGGCTCGAGCACACCACAGTCTAAAAGTCTCTGTGTGGAACCAAGAAGCCACTCGTGCCAAAGACCTTGCATGGAAGAAGACACTATTCTGTTTGGCTGTATGTCACTTACTGCAACCTTCCCCTTGTGACCACTGAACTTTCACGTGTGGTGACATCAGTTAGTGAGAAATCCACAAGGTGGAAGATGAAGCTGAGGCAGCAAGGCCAGGGCTGTGAGCTGGGCCCCCCTTTCCCATGGGGAGATTGTCCACTAACGGTCTTAAGGAATTCCTCTACTGGAGGCATGGCTGGAAAATACCCACCAGCTGTTTATCACTGATGCTAATTATCTAGAAAGCAACGTCATAACCTAACAATACGGGAATGAACTGATCTATACGCAGAGCACGATTTTCAAGTGAGCAACACGGCTCTTCAGGGCCTATTGGTGCGGGGGTCACGTACTGAGGCGGTGGCCGGCGTCTCCTCCTCTCTCACAGACGTCTGGGGCTCTCCTTGTTCAGGCTCAGATTTCTCGGGTGGTTCTTGCTCCTGGGGACAGGGGAGAGGCTGAACAGACATTTCCAATATAGCAAAGTCTTGGACTTGACTGCTTAAGGGCAATTAAATACCACTTAGAGTTACTGAAAACGGGGAGAGTCAACATCTGTGTGAGCAGATATCAAAGCCTGAGGGACTGGTAAAATGTGGGTACCACAGTTTTATTGTAAAAAAGAGACAAACAATAAACGAAACAAAAGAACAGTCTTATACTAAAAGTTGATAAGCTGCTGTACCGAACCCTATCATGAGAAGTGCCACTGCTTCTAAAGCCAGAGTGAGATCAACACTGCTGTGTTCCTCAGTGTGAAGCCGGGTTGACTTTTTCCTTTTTTTCTGTACTGCACATACACTCATGACAGAAAGAGACAGAGAAAGGGAAAGTGAGAAATCACCCCCCCAGGAGGGATGCCATGCCACAATCCCTTCACTTCCATTCACCTCTTGGGATCTGGGGCATGCATGTACATGCACCCAGCATGGTTCTCAAGCTGTAGGGTCCAGGACTTGAACTGTGCAGTCAGCCATGTGCCGTCAACCTAACTACCCACCACTGGCCAGCCCCAGATTGCCTTTTATTATTTTTTTTAATAGAGGTTTTTGCCTTAGGGCGTGTGCGCTTGCTGGAGAGACAAACACAATGAGAGGGAAAGTGAGAAATCATTCCCGGGGGGATGACCATGTTACATTCCCTTCTCTTCCATTCTCCTCCCGGGATCATGGGCACACATGAACGTGCACCGGAGTGACTTAGAAACCACTGGGTCTGGGACTCAAGCCGAGGTTGAACATGTGGGAGTCCAGTGATGTAACTGCTTTGCCATCTGCTGGTCCCCCCGCCCCCGCTTTTTTTAGAGAGAGATAGGGTACTGTGTGCTCATCGGAGAGAGACAGAAAAGAGATCACTCCCCCACCCCCACCCCCCCCAGGGAGGATGGCCATACCGCAATCCATTTCTTCCATCTTCCTCTCGGAATTCTGGGCATGCAACACAAACACACTCAGTGTGAGTTTTAAACCACCCAGTCCAGGACTCGAACCGTGGTCAACTACATGGGAATCCAATGATGTAACCGTTACACTATCTGCCACTTTTTTTTTTTTTTAAGGTTTTTGCCAGGGGGCATGAACGTTCACTGGAGACAGAAACAGAGAGGGAAAGTGAGAAGTCACTCCCCAGGGGGGATGGCCATACTCAATATCCCCTCCTCCACTCTCCTCCTGGGAGTTCAGGAACCCACATGTGCCTGTTGTGATTTTCAAGCTACCAGGCCTGGGACTTGAACTGCAGTTGGCCAAGTGGGAGTCCAGTGCCTTAACCACCATGCCACCTGATGGCCACCCAAGTTGACTTTTTAATGAGGCTTATGAATTAAAAACTAAGTCAAAGAAGTGAGTTTTGCTGTGGTAATGGCTTGAATATGAACAGCCACCCGGTCCTTTGGGTCCCCCCCCCCCCCACGAGCTTTGCGACCTCACAACCATGTGAAGGGCCTCCCCGACCATGAGCGAGGAGGGAGGGCTTAAGGACAAGGAAGCTAATCAGGTCGTCTTTGGGATTCAGATAAAAAGGCCAGGAGGCACCCTGACTATTATTGGCACAAGAACTTGGAGTCTACAGCATCATCCCTTTGTTGTTACAAAGCAAGAATGCAGACTCCAGTAAATAACAACAACTGAACACCCCGCGTCCTCGACAGGATTTCCCTTCTGAACTTGTGACAGCTGCTTCTCCAGGAAGTCCCCGGATTGCTGGAGAGCAGATGTCCTCAAGACCTGAGCTGAGCCAACTCTCCTTAAATCTGCATTTGCTGCTGCTTTGCACTAATGGCATGGTCTCAGTTGTCCAGAGTAGTGTTCTCGATCCTTTTTTTTCCTTTTTTCGTGTCTGTGTTTGCGTGTCTGTGTTCTCATATTTTAATATACCTGTAAATTACTTTGGGAGCTTATGAAAATCCTGCTTGTGATTTGTAGACTTGGGGTAGGGCACACAACTTTGACTAAGTTCACAGCTGACGCAAATGATCTTGATCCACACAGCCTCTCTCTAATTTGCCAGAAGATGCATGCATCCACTGGAGACAGAGAGGGCAAGTGAGAAAACACCCTCCCTGGGGGACGGGCACACTGAGAGCCCTTCTCCGCCTCTCCCTCCGTCCGGGCTCTGGGAAGGCATGCTCACTGGCCGGCCGTGCCCATCAGGCTGCTGCGTCTTCCCAAGGCCATACCTTGAACGCATGGTTGTTATAGAAGCGGTCATCTATCTTTGTCCCCCATTCTGCTGGGTCAAAGCTGGTTTCTAGATAACAAAAACGTAATAATTTACAAAAGTAAACTTACAATCGTAACACAAAACAAGTTTTCCATTTCAAATCATAGCTTCTAATAGTTGAAAATCTTCCTGAACTATATTAAAAAGTATGCTAAGTAGTCAGAAAGTTTGGGAAAGTGAAGGATGGGAGAGGATTTTGTTTTTGTCTTTTTTTATCTTTTATTTTTGGTCAGAGAGTGTATGCACTCATCAGAGACGGAGATGAGACAGGACCCCTTGGGGCGTGGTCATGCCACAACCCTTCCCCTCTGCCTCTCTCCGTTCAGGACCTAAGTCACACACAGGGACATTTGCCTGGTGTGTTTAAGCTGCCACGTCTGGCCTCAGTCAGCCAGTAAGCCTGTGCCGTCCATCGGTCACCATAAAGCAACCTGTTTTAGTTTATTATTATTTTTTTAATTAGCCATATTATATAGACAGTTGACAGAGGAAGAATTTTTAAAAATGTTAAATTTATTATCATTATTTTTTTAAGAGTTTTTTTTTGTTTGTTTGTTTGTTTGTTTTTGTTTTTTTTTTGCTATAGGGTGTATGTGTTCACCAGAGAAACAGAAAAGTGAGAAATCATTCCCCAGGAGGATGGCCATGGCCATGCCACAGTTCCTTCTCTTCCACTCTCTTCTTGGGATTTTGGGCAGGGGCGCACACACACCCAGTCTGAGTTTTAAACTATTGGGTCCAGGATACGAATCACAGTTGACTATGTGAGAGTCCAGCAACACAGACATTATGCCATCTGCTAGTTCCATTGTTATTATTTTTAATGTGCTATAGGGCACGTGTGCTCACCAGAGAGCTAGAGACAAGGGTAGGGGGAGAGAGAGAGAGAGAGGGAGAGTGAGAAAGCAAGCCACCAGGTCTGGGATTTAAACCAGTCAGCCTTGTGGGAGTCTAGCACCTCAACCACCATATCACCTGCTGGTCCAAGAGAGAATTTAAGCAGATTTTTTTTCTTTAAGTTCTCATTATGGAAAAATTCAAGCTTAGAAAGTAGAGAGACTAGTACAATAATTCTCTATGCATATTCTCTAAGATTAAACAGTGATCAATTCATGAGTTACCTTTTTTTTTTTTTTAAGAAAGATTTTTACTATAGAGTGCATGAGCTCACTGGAGACAGAAAGACAGTGAGAAATCACTCCCCGGGGATGGGCATTCCACAATCCCCTTCTCCACCCTCCCCTAAGGATCTTGGGCACACACGCGCATGTGCCCAGCATGAGTTTTAAGCCTCCCGGTCTGGGACTCAAAGTGCACTTGGCCATGTAGGAGTCTAGCACCTCAACTACCATGTCACCTGCAGGTCCTGAGCTACTTTATCTATAACCCTTTCTTCTGTCCCCCCCCCCCATTACTTTCAAGTTGACCCCAACCATTCTACCATTTTATCTACATTTATTTCAAAATGCATCTGGGCCTTTGTGAAATATAACCCAAAGCCATATCACACTTAGGAATACTAACAAGAATTCCTTAAAGTCATTACCTATTCAGTGAACTATCTAAATTTCCCATTGTCTAGTTTACTTTTTATTGTTCAAGTCAGGACCCCAAACTGGAGCCTTTAGCCATCTTTTATGTCTTCTTATGGAATCCCTCCTTCTATTTTCTCCCATCCATTCATTGAGGAAATTGAGTCATTTTTCCTTGGGAGTTTTCACAGTTCAGATATTCCTGACTCTATCCCCGTGGTGGCTGTTCCTCTGCCTTTGAATTTCCCATAAACTGGTAATTAGATCTAGTTTCTATCCAGTTCAGGTTTGATTGCTTTTGGCAAGAATATTTGAAGGGCAGTGTGTATACATCTATCAGAATATCTGTATCTGTATCTATATCTATACACACACACACTCTATAATTTTATATAATTTTTTTTGGAGAGGTTTTTGCTACAGGGCACGTGTGCTCGCCAGAAAGACAGAGACAGAGATAGAACGCAAGAAATCACCCCCCCCCCCCAGGGGATGGCCACGCTGCAATCTCTTCTGCTCCATTCTCCTCTTGGGATCTTGGGCACGCACGCACACGCGCCTGGCATGAGTTTAAGCCACTGGGTCTGGGACTTGAACTGCAGCCGACTACATGGGAGTTCAGCAACATAGCCATTATGCTAACTGCTGGTCCCTCTATAATTTATATATATATTAGAATTTTTATGGGCCCATTGATGATCACTGCTTAGGTCATTTCTCAGGGATGCCAAATGGTAATGTTTTCAGTTGATCATTTATTTCTGGAGTGCTCGGTATAGACAAACTTCCCCACTTCAGCTATGGGGTAAACTTAAAGTACAGTTCTTACAGGAAACTAGAGCTTTGGCTCTTTCTTACAGGAAACTAGAGCTTTGGATCTTTCCCTCTGTTGACCAGTTTCACAATCATCACTTGGTGCCTGGGATCTTCTCAAGAGGACCAGAGTGCTCTGCGGTCCTAAACCATTATAGACTCATGGATAGCTGGTAGGGTACGCGTAGTGCGTGGTGCACAGCACCCGGTGCAGGGTACGCGTAGTGCGTGGTGCACAGCACCCGGTGCAGGGTACGCGTAGTGCGTGGTGCACAGCACCCGGTGCAGGGTACACGTAGTGCGTGGTGCACACCACCCGGTGCAGGGTACATGTACAGTGTACACCATTCGGTGCATAATGTATGTATTACATGGTATGTGCCATGGTATGTTCTCTACTGCTATACTGGCATACTCTCTGTATATACTAATATATACTCTACTGTATGCTATGGTTTCTGTGCTAGTATACACTAACACGTTTCCCATCACAAAAGTAAAGACTAGTAACCATCTGTGAGAGATAATGCAGGAGAACTCTTTTTTTTTTTTGGGAGGTTTTTCGCTATAGGGCGCATGCGCTCGCCAGACAGACAGAGAGAGACATAGAGACAGAAAGCGAGAAATCACCCCGCCGCAATCCCTTCTCCTCCATTCTCCTCTGGGATCTTGGGCACGCACGCACACGCGCCCGGTGTGAGTTTTTATTTTTTTTAAGCCACCGGGTCTGGGATGCGAACTGTGGTCGACTACGTGGGAGTCCAGTGACATAGCCATTATGCTAACTGCTGGTTCCCTGCAGGAGAACTCTTGCACTATACAAGACTGGGTTAGAGGTCTGTGTTTTTTTTTTTTGTGCCTTTTTGAAGGAGACTAAATTCTGATACCTGCATGGTCAGATAACCCACTGCTCGTTGACGTGGTGGAAATGGGTGTGGTGTTAAATGGTTTTCTCCAGGGACCAGCAGATGGCATAATGGTTCTATCGCTGGACTTCCACGTGGCCAACTATAGTTTGAATCCCAGACCCAGTGGCTTGAAACTCATACTGAGCTCATGTGCGTGCATGCCCAGGATCTTGGGAGGAGGAGGAACTGTGGTGTGGCCATCTCCTGGGAGGTGATTTCTCACTTTCCCATTTACTGTCTCTGTTTCTTTCTCTCTCTCTCTCTCTCTCTCTGGGAAGCACACATACCCTAAGGCAAATACCTAAAAAAAAAAAAAAATTAAAAAACGGTTTTCTCCATTCATTAGTTAGAAAGTGCATGTCCAGAGACCACGAATCTGAATCATCATTTTATTAGTTAGAAAGTGCATGTCCAGAGACCACGAATCTGAATCACCATGATCCCGTAACCCTGACTCAGGAACTCTGAGTTTCAAAGGTAAATAAGTGGTTAATTTCTAAAATTGTTATGACAAGGTTAATACTCACCTTTTCCCCCAAAGGATTTCTTTTAATATGCCCCCCATACCCTCGGTGGTGGAACTTAATTCAGATTGTGCAATAAACATTTGCTGACTAGACACGGTCAGGGTATCAGCAGGGGTGCTGTGCTCCGGGAGGTGCTGGCCCCACAAGGGGAGCAAAAGCGCCAAGTCAAGCAGCCAGCATGGCTTGATGTGCCTGGGCCAGGTCCCCTACCTAGCTAAGCTGCATTCCCACAGAAGGTACATTTGCTGGTGGCTGGTTCTCACCATCTTCACTATGGAGTCAGAACACTGCAACCACAGTTATGACAGCAAAAGCTTATACCAAAAGGTTGTTCTGGTAAATAATGGGTCTTTAAGTACAAACTCATAGCTGTAAGATTCCCACTTGGACCACTGGGTCAGGCCTTGAAGGTAATGAACCCTCCGCCTGGGATTTGTAGATTTTATTTCTGGGAGTGAAGGAACTTCGTTTTGGCTCTCAACTAAAGAGTCGCTGTCGGCAAGGGTCTTAATCTGTGCAGGATCCGTCCTGGAGAGTACAGAAATATAAAGTTTCCTTCCTGAGCTGGCAGCTCACCTTTCGAAGCAATTTGTCCTACTGCAGAAGTTTTATATACCCAGTGAAAACCTATTTAACCTAAGTGTACAAGGGTGTTTTATTTTTTTAGCCTTTGCTATAGGATGTGAGCACTTGCTGGAGAGGGACAGAGAGAGGCAGGGAGAGAGAGACAAAGAGAGAGATAAAGAAAGTGAGAAATCACCTCTTGGGGAGATGCATGTTGCATCTTGGGATTCGGGCAGGCACATGCCCTGCCCTGTCTTCCAAGCCACCGGGTCTAGGACTTAACTGCAGTGGCCATGTGGGGATCCGGTCACCTTAACCACTATGCAACCTGGCTGGCTCATCATTATTATTTCTTACACGTGTAATATTTGAAAGTGAGAAGAATCCAAGTTTAAAGAAAGCCACCAACTTTCCTCTCAAGAGGAACAGTCACCTGCCAGAAAGGCAGGGAGATCTGCTGGAAGGTGGAGGGGCAGGGCTCTGCGGCGCTGTCCCCTCCCAGTGTCCACGAGGATACCATGCAGGCCTCCCGCACTGCACAGCACTCCGAGAACCGTCAGAGGCTCCCTTCTAACCACAGCAACTATGATCGGAAGCTACCTGCTTGCTAAAGGCTTTCTATGGGATAGAGACGGTTTGGAGCAAGCTTTACCATATCCACGTGCTGAGTCTCTTATTATTATTATTTTAGAATTATTTTCTTTAACTTGACAGCGCGAGAGAGACAGAGGGACAGTGAGAAAGCATGCCGCCAAGTCCGGGACTCGAACCGCGGCCCACAATGTGGAGCCCAGCGTCCTTAACCACTACACTACCTGCTGGCCCCTGAGTCTCTTATTTTTTAAGAATGCCATTTTTAGAATGCTTACTCTCTCTCTTCTCTAGAAGGTTCTCAAAATAGGCTGCCGCAAACGCCGGTATATTGTCGGGTTGCTCCCGCAGAATCTCGCGAGTCAGCCCTTCCAGCAGGTTCCCAAATCCCTGCGGGATGCGGTAGTGGGTGTTGGAGAACGGGATCGACATCCTGGGACGCCCCGGCCGTGTTCCTAAAGGGCCAGAGAGCGGCTCTTCA